CCCGCAACCGCCAGTAATCTTCCTTAAATTCCAAGAGGTGTGCTCAGAGACTGCACGTTCTAAAGTTTGGTTTTGAACGCAAGGCGCATGGTGAAATATGGTACGACGGTGGTTGGTTTATTCAACAAAATCGTTCAGCTGTAGAACCCTTTCAGTGTCTAACTGCCATGTCACCCGAAGGTTGCACGAGGACTGGGATACTGCCAGGTTGCCCAAACCTAGACAGGGGAAGTCGAGAGACGGGGGTCGGGTTCGAACCACGGACCTGACTGTCAGTAGATTCGCGCTGTAACCAGTTAGGCCATCTCGCCCCTTATTCAACAGGTACAAGCTCTGTTGTTATTCAACAGAACTTAAAAGATGACGATGATCTCGTCTGTGTACACGAGATCAACAGGGTTCTCGTTGGCAACGCTTTGAACACTGGGTTTTAGAAACCTTCCAGGGCACTGCTGATGATTTCAAATGAGGATGTACAATGCTTCTCAGCTTTCCAGCATGGACTGGCTTCACTTAAAGGACAAAAATCCCCAGTATCAGTTCCTGTCATCTTTTTTCCGGTGTAATCATATCAACTGCGAAAACAAACTTCCTGTCCATACCAGCTAACAGACCAGTGGTCCCGAGTGGACAAAGAATTCCAGTATATTTCAGATTGAACAGGAGGACGAGAGCGACTGTTTGTGCACTCGAGTAAACTATGAGTCACGTGACAGAAACTCCAAGGTATAAGATAGACTAAACCACACTTGGTGAAAAGACTAGTCACCATTCAAAAGTGGGAAACTCAAAAATATCATTACCTGGGTAAGGGCAGTTTGAACGAAGTTGGAGAAGTAAACCAGTGACAAATGTAAAAAAACGATGAAGGTATTATAAGTGGAAGGGTTGTAAAGCCCTTGGAAAATGCCACACTTGCGACACAAACAGGAAGATACGGCACACTATCATTTTATCTCTTTAAAAAATCCGTTTTCCCTAGACTCATAGAAACATATAAATGTTGACTGAATGTTGCGACGGCGTATTCTAATTCAACAATCACGATAAATACCTACTATATTCACTGTATAAATAATTTGGCAATTCGAAGCCATCGTCTTTAGTATGCGGAGATTTTGCGGGACAAAGGGGAAGGGATTCTATTCAAAGCAATAGTCTTCGCATCAGATTCTAACCATCAGTTTTCTTTTTTGTGTCACCCCCCTTTTCAACGCGGTCTGTTGCAGTGGAAACTTCGTCGGAGCGAAACCATATGAAGAGGGATCCAGCGCTGATTGCAAACCGGCAGGAGGGACGGATTCTTCGAAACCGCCAGGTGAAAGCGATCAGGGAGAAGAACTGCCAACCGAAGGCGGCCAAGGAGCAGAACTACCTGGTGAAAGCGACCAAGGAGGGGCTCCACCTGATGATCAAAATGAAGTTCCGCCTCCTCAAGATACGGAACCTCCCATTGAGACTCTCCCACCTCAAGGTTCACGGCCACCCCATGGGTCACGGCCACCCCAAGGTTCACGACCACCCCATGGTTCACGACCACCCTATGGCTCACGACCACCGCAGGGTTCACGACCACCCTTTGGTTGGGGGCCACCACAAGGTGGACAGCTAACTTACAAAACGAGGCCACCACGGCCCTTGATACCATCTCGTAAACAACGACCTTCACCGGGAAATAATCAATATTGGCAAAATAGACGGCCTCCAATGGGGTTCGGAAGGAGTGGCGTTAATGAGGTCGTTGCGTAAACCTATCACCATTTTGTGAAGTAAGTTGTTCTGCTTGGTTTCTGTTGGTAACGGTTCAATATAATCGTTTCAGAATCAAAAATCTTTTTACTACCGCTGATCCTGTCAAAGTCTTCATCTTACAACGAAAGAAGCAATCGAGTTATAGCCCTTCTGATTCGAGGGCATGTTTGATTTTGCGTGAACAGGAGCAACAAAACAGTCAAAGACTACGGATGTGCACTGCCTGCTATACAGAAAGAAAAAAGCCACGTTAGTGATTGAGTTAGTCTTTCGTGGTGTCAAGTCCCATTGAATACACTGTTTTATAAAGTCACTGTGGAGTAAAATAACGAAGAAACCCAGCCTCCGCCTTGCTGACTTACATAAAGTAGTGTGGAAAATTACGGCGGGAGCCCTCGTTCGGTAGTTTCTGAACCACCTTTATCCCGAAAAATTGCAGTATGTGGACGTGCTTGAATTCTCTATGGGGGTGCAGACACTTTTGGCCAAGGAAACTGTGCAACCAAGGAAGATAGATTAGGAAGCGGTCAAAGTCACTCCAACTGAGGAACATGCCTACGAGTGGTTGGAAGGTCTTCGATGCGGAATTGGGAAATGCCAACTGAACAGTTACAGACTTTTGGACAGGGAAGCAAAACTCTCATATGCATCTTGTTTACAAAAACTGAATATCCATCTTCACCTTGAAAGCGTCTCCCCTAACTTTCCTGGATATTCATTGACTGTTGCTCAAATCCAAGCAAATGCTACAAAGTGACTCCACAAATTCCGCAATGGATCTCACTTTTCAAGAGACGCTAAGCGGATTTACAAGGAACCATAGTACTTGCATACCTCCCCTCCAGTAGTATAACAGTTACACGAGTACATACTGCAGTGTTCCGATCAATTTTCGTTTGGAGTTGTATACGAAGAACAGTTCTGTCTCCTCCAATTTAGACAACTAGAAACAATAGTGGAGTTGGGCTGATGGTGTGCGGTGAGGTTTGAAAAATAAATGTGAGAAATAAACAATAAATAAATAAAGACAATGAAATCCTGGGTATGGAAACTGCAAGAGACGAAGACAGGAATCAAATTGTTGACCTTAAGCTTTGGCGAAAAACCTGAGATTTATAAGTATGCCCTCATACAGAACAAATTGTCGACTATTGATCCGATGGCAGAGGCCCCTCTTAAGCTCACTGAACACACCGGACCCCACAAGGCTACCGAGAACTGTGGATCCCACCATTCAGTGACCAACAAAAAATTGTTCTGATACCAAAACGACTTGGAATCATGAACCAGACAGGAAGGACATTCAAGGGGCTCAGTAATTACGCTAACTGTCTTTTTAGGCGGAAGCATGGTAAACCACGCACGGGCTTCAACAATGCAGTGCCCTTCTGTTATTCAGAGGACTACCTCTCGTCCTTCCCACAGTTTATTAGGAAAACTGCCGGTCAGTAAAACACTTTTACATCAATCGGGGAGAGTGCACTACGAGAATAGGTGTCATCAGTTTTACAATTTGTGATACACCCACATCAGGAATGCATCAAACCGCTTATCGATTGTTTAGTCAGATGTCTGCACGTTAATCGATTTGCTGTGATGGTAATGGAACAATGCACTAGTTTGGGAAACGACAATGCAAAGCCCGTGTTGTCTGAGAAAGTTTGTCGAAGGTTCAGTAAATCTGTACCGCCAAACCGGGTTGTTCCGCTTTTATTACAACGCACGTACGACAGCGAGGAGGGTGATTTCTAAAGCGCATCATCCTTGGGGCAGAAACGGGCAAGTAATTTGCAAATCGAGGACGCCATTCTGCAAATCACCAGTAGCAGGAGAACATGTAGCGGCTTGAAAGAGAACAATCTTACAAAGTGAATTTGGTTTGGAAACCCATGGACCGGGTGAACATAGTCAATGATCCTTGGCATACGTGTGCCGCTTATAAAACAATTTGACCATAAACAGTGAAACACAACTCTTACCGACTCTCGATTGCAAGCCTTATGTGCATGTCTAGAAAAGAGAGGCGCCATGATGGCTAAAGGAAAATGTGTTTCATAAGGGGGAAGTTGAGTGATGTCTGTTTGTCGTGTCTGCTTACGCCCCAACCGACTGTAGCTCTCACGCTATCAAAGAAGAGTTTTATGAAACCCTGATTCGATGAGCTAGATGCTCTGATATCCATGTGGTTGCTGCATATATGAATGCAAAAGTGAACACTATAAAAGCTTTCGTCCAAGAGAATCCTCTCTCAATCCTTGAGATCCTCATTGTTTGGCGTTTGAGTGAACTTTGTGGGGCAAAAGTCTCGCTTGTCACTGGTGGCCAGAAGTGATGGGGCTCTAAAATCGTAACTACCCCCTGAAAGTAGTTGTAGCAGGAACTACTCTAAAGTGAACTGTTCTCCATCGAATACATTTCGTTGTGACTCTCTTCACAGGAATTCCTGAAATGTATTTGAAAATATCACAGTTATGGCACCTTATCTCCGTTGCGGTCTACCTCCAACATAGGCGGCACTCTTTTGTGAAGTCACGACATGTTAGCAAATTCGAATTTAGTGTCAAATAAGAACGTGAGTCTGGTGTCGAATCAGCATCATCATCATCATCATCATCATCATCGTCAACCATCATCATGACAACATCAGAGGAGAGCACTGGTACCTCACTGCAGTACAGCCATGTCAGTTTATTAAAACAAAGCCTCATCACGGAAAGAAGAAGGAAAATGGGACAGGGAGAGGGACTTGGAGTTAGCGCCACAAATAGCCGAGGGCCCTACAACTCCAAGCTCAGTCAGACAATCTGAATGTAAATGGATAGAATGGACGCCACTGACATTGGTTATTCAATATATCGTTATCTTTTCAAGCATTGTTTGCGCTTCACAGTCTTCAAATATTAGACCGATGTCGTCTGCGAATTCCAGATCGACAAGACCCTCACTCGAAGAGATCTGAACACTGTGGTTTTAGCGATAGGGAGAATGAAATTCTTGTCTCAAGCTACTGCCTGTTAAGTGAAAGGGTAGCTGTTTTCCAATATGATTCGGCGCAGCCGTGTTCCTAGATCATGTGAGAGTGAAATGCATTTTGCATCCTGAATAGCTATTCGTTGGAAAAAACCAGGAATTATGAGATGTACTAATTATCGATTTGAGTTGAATACTCGAGATTAACTGTATCCAGTAAGAGCGAATTTTACGCATCACACGTGTGGCATATATGACAAGTGTCACGGCAGTTCTTTATAAGTGCATTTTACTGCGCATTAAGCTGACAAAAACCTCGTTGCTTGCTTCAAGTTCCACATAATAGCACCGGAATAAGTGGTATAAAAGGATACTTGCCGCTGTAATTTCGCGCAATTTAGTTACAAGTAGAACATAAGGTTGACGGAACTGCACCTACCTGATGAGCCCCAAGAACGGCGAAACCGGTCGTGGGCTGTCAAAGAGTTCTCAGCAACCCTGTGAGTAGTTTCTTTTATCACCCTAATAATTTTGAATCAATTTAGTGGACTGTAAGACCTCAGTTTCTTGTCGAATCCTCATTGTGAATTCCGCTAACCTTCTCTTGATTTATTCGGTCGACTGATCGTGACTATCGATAGTTAGTAAAACTAGTAACCACAAATACCACAGAAAGTAGCCATAAACGGAGAGTTTTATCGGTTGTGATGACTACGCACAGGAAGCATTTAGTTACTGATGGTTTCTGGTGTATCTGATTGCTGTCTCTGCTCCGGCGCCTGGTGCTGAAACAAGACTCGCAATCTAGGGACACATTAGCCTTACTGCGAACAAGCGACTGAACGCGAAAAGTACAACAGTCTCGCGCTGTATATTCAGGGGGCACTGTCTGAGCTTGATTCAAAGCTGTCTCGCACTGCTTGACGTTGATCCAAGGCCGTTTCGCGCCCTTTTTTGAAGGATACTGTGTGACCATTATTCAAGGCTGTCTGACTGGCGTTCAGTGGATTTTCTCAGTAGGTCTCAGGCATTCTGGCATAATCTTCAGGAATTGGACATTCCTGACAGTTTCCTAGATTACTGGCTGGGAATATAAGTAGGCAAAAACTGTTGCTGTTCGTAAACAGCCAATTAGGCGTCGAATAATATTGTTCATTTTTGCACATCATCATCGTCACCATCGACGACAACAACAGATGAGAACATTCGCGCTCACTGCCGCAAAACCATGTCACTTTTTTAAAGAAATAAAGGTTTATAGTAGAAAAATAAAAGAGTGAAGCTGGATGGAGACCAAGTTTAGCCTTCAACAAACTTCTGAGGTGCCTCCATCTCCAACATTCAGTCATACAATCTGATATCGATTAGTTACTCGACCGTTCAGTGTCTCCAGCCGAGCACATGGAAGGTCACGTAGACCAAATTCTGGAGGGCGAACAACATTAGAGTCATTTAGACTTTTCGTAACATAATTCATTCTATTCTGCCATATTATTGTCTTCAACTTTAGGTTTACGCTTGGTATTTCAGCTTAGTTCACAAAAACTGCTGGTTTCGCAACGGTCCAGTAGAAGTGGACCATCTCAACCACATAGTCTTCTAGCCAGCTCTTGACTCGATCTATCAGCTTGACCCCCTGTTTCGACTATTTCAGTTCAGAAGCTCACACATACCGGATCGAGCAAACCTGTTGGACCATCATCAACACAGGGACAGATGGGGGTAGAAAAATCATGTAGCAATACTTTACCAAAACTTTATCTAGAGCGTAAAATCCATGAGAAAAAAATGAGCAACTGCCTTCCTTCCACGTGAGGTAGATGAATCAAGATGATGGTCATCAGTTTACGAAACACGCTCGTAGCTGAAGCCCACTCACACTTCCCCTAGGGGCATTCCAGTTCATGGAAGTTGGGTCCATTGGAATGTCCATTTGATGAGTGTATCAGTAAAAAACTAAATAAAACAGGATATAGAAGACAGCCCTTGTGTAGTCCCCTTGTTTTAAGCAGGCTCTTCAACCATTCATGGCAAACTCCAACATGACACGAATTCAAAAAACT